TTTAACAAAACAACAGCCCCTAGGCTATTACAAAGTCACACTTACTTGTATATACATTTTTATCTTACTGTTACAAAGTGATCAAACAGTTTGGTGTAAATCTTTTCCAGCATCTCTCTGTACCCTCATCTATGTGTTTGTGCTCCATTCTTGTTACACACATACACTCTCTTGTTTAATAAATTTTCCTTGGTTATTCACTAAGAATAAATTGCACGTCTTCCACCGTGCATAACTTCATGAGGACATTTAAACTTCTGTCACCATTTTATCTATGAGTCATGGCATTTAAGGTTATTTTGACTTATGATTTAACAAAATCTTTTCAGCAAAAGTGTTTATGAATATATGTACATTATATGAGTATGTTCTGGTCAGTGCTTTGGTGGGAACTACAATAGACCTTGGACAAAGAAAAGTTAATCAGTTCTGTTTGTTTTGCTCTTTCAAGTCTGGTGGAATGGATGCGAACATCATTTCTAGATGGCTTATTGCAGTGGTTATGATTTTAGTGTATGCTTGGTGAGATATTCTGAGATTTGTCTGTCCTGGATGTTTTTGGTCTCCAGTGTGAGTTTAACAGTATACTGTGTTTACAGTCTCGTAGATACTATCTAGGATTCAACATATATCCTGGTTATTAAATTGATATTCAAAAGGGCACCTGGACTTTCCGAAGGAAAAGTATAAGCAAATACATGACACATTTGAACTTCTTCTGTGTACAGAATTCTAAGAATATTTAAGAAGGATTGTTGATGGTGCCAACTAAAAGAAAATCTTCATAAATATGCTATGTCTTCTAACTATCTTTGGGAAGGGAACCTTAGCATTGGTGAAGTAAAAGAATTCCTCTAGAAACTCAGTGAGTGGTTTTGGCAGCTGTTTGCATGGTATTAAGGTCAGTTAAACATTTTCTTGTATCTTTTTACCAAGAGATTAGATACTACTAAGAGGAATGTGTGTACTCTCGTATTTTGACTGTAGGCTTATCAGAGTTCACAGTGTGGTTACGGGGATGTGGGTCAACAAGCTCATTGTGTTCTAGACTGCTCCACCCCTTATCATCTTGGAAAAAGGACACTTAAAACTGGCAAGGGCCTGGAACTAGGTCATCTTTAAAGTCCCTTCCAACCCAAACCATTCTGTGATTCCACAACAGAGGGGTCTTGTAAACAGCAGAATTAATGAGGTCTGGGTCCTTATTAGTGGATTTTGTGACAGACCATAAGAATGCTTTTACCCTCAGAGCTCCCAGGTGGTGCCTTATTTCATCTGCTGTAATAACCAAAATTAGCTTAACATCCCCAATCTTCTGTTCAGCTGCTAGCTACTCTGTGCCCATACACAGACTGGCAATTGCTTGCCACTTAACTATGAAGCATGCAAAATGCCTTGCTCCTCAACTGGAGATCTGTACAAATTATTTTGAGAGATCCATATATGTCCCCCAAGCTTGTATTATGTGGGGGTTGACCATAGTAACTGTGAAGTTCGTATCAAATTTCACTGTAATGGCCAACTGGCCCCTTGTTTGAGGTGACTTTCAAGCAAAAAAAAGACCCAGTGCAAATGTATTAACTTTCAGGGAGTTTAGTTTTGGATTATTGGTTTTGGTTGGTTTTTTTTTCCTTAGAAAACCAGGCTAATAGCTAATTGGGCATTTGTCCGATGTGTAAACATGCAGTGTGCGAGGAGGGAAGTTTTGTCAAGTGGTATATTTTTGGGTCACATACAGCAGTACTCAGGGTCTGATGTGTCACAGGAGATGCAGGAGGGCAGGTTGCTGTATGGCACACAGCTGTGTGTTAAGAAACAAAAGCAGGAGCTCCCAACTCTAATGAAACATCTCCTGCAGTTTGGTCCTTGGTAATCCACATAAAGACAGACTTTGTAATTGGAATCCCGTGGGAATTAATGGAGGCTTGTTGCCCAGCTTTCCTATGTCTTCTACCCTTTTGTCAGTAACTTGATTAAATATTTATTTTAAAAAACTATTGATTAATTCATGTGGCTTTGTAGAAGAATGCATGAAATAATTATAAAAGCTAATTGGCCTTGTTTAACATACTAAGTTTTAGCTGAATTGTTAAGATAGCTTGGAGGGCTCTAAAATCATCAACAGATCCAGTAAAATGGTAAATTAGTACCAAGATTACCAAAAAAATCAGGAATTGGCTACAAGAGAGATGAGAATTCAATTTTTAATACATATTTTTTTAATGGAAAGGAGGGTGAATTAAGCTAAATCATAGCACAGTATTCATTACTACGTTCCTTAATGATAGGCCAAAATATTAGAGGTACACTGCTGAATTTTGCTTTAAATAAAATGAGACACTGCTGTTAGAGATTAGGATTAGGATACACTAGGTGACCTGCAAATTGGAGTTGTGGGACAGTGATGAGATCTTAACTATAATGCTGTGCAACAAATCTGATATCAGTGAAAGAAATTTAAGATCAAACTGGAGTGGATAAAGAGAAAACTGCAAAAAATAATAAGGAAAAACAAAAATTCAGTCTTATAAGTGGACCTTGGAAAGTTTGACAATTATTCTAATGAAAATTGAGAGAGGATGTCAACACTGATAATTATAAGAGTGAATAAGTATGAAAATTAAGTCAAATGGCTATTTTAACAGAAGAACAAATATATGTAAGCATTAATAAATTGATTGTGTGATTAAGAGGTTTGCAGTCTTGACACCAGTGTACTGGGATAATCTTTTTGTGGTCATGGTGTGGTAAAAGAAAACTTTGGGATTGCTTTTATGAAAATGATTATTTGCCTAAAATAGCAGAGATGGACTTGATGACATTAGATGTTTCAGTGCTCATTTAAAAAAGATGAATATTACTGAAATTGGTAATTTGACCTACAGAAAGGAAGTTGTAGGTCAGAGCTTGCTATAGAAATTACACGTAAAAGGAGAAAGATGCCTACTATCTATTGCCAGTTCCCAACTTTTATGAAAAAGTTTACATTTCCTTTAGAAGTGCTGTTACTTTACATGAAGCCAAATAAACTTTGAAATTCACTTTTTTTTTTTTTTTGAAAGTTTCATTAAAATGTGGGAAACTAATCTTACTGAAACAACTCTGCTTTTGAAGATTCAGTCTTTTGAGGAGCAGGCTTTTAAGTTCATAAGAAAAGGGTATTGCAGAGAACTCTGACATAAAAAAGCTTTATGAGTAATGGAAGTTGAGTTTTATGAGGCCATACATTATCAGAATAAATGGTGGTCTTGTTCTTCTGTATTTTCCTAGTTCCTCAGGCTTAGAGTGGAAAG